GAAACGTCAGCCTCTCTGCTCCTATGATGCTGCTTGGCCTGCTGTGTTCATCCAGCCCTGCACCTTGTTGTCACAGCTAGTGAAGTACTTTTAAAGTAATTACTGTATGGAATATAGAAAGTTAGATAAAACACAAGAGAAAGGACCCAGAAGAATATGTTCATGAGGTGAAATGAAATGGAGGGGGATTGTGGGATAGAGGGCTCTATGGAGAGTGCCACTGACATAAACTAAAGTATTGTTTGGATTGTATGTTTTGCATTCAGAAGCTTTAGTTGGAGTAAACCAATGTGCAGTTTATTATGTCTGATTTATTGCTTTGTTTGAGTCATATGAAAGTCACAAAGTGTTTATAAAGTAGAACAAAGATACAAATGTTCAATTTAGGAATTGGATTCCAACATTTTATTACAGCAGTTAGCAAAGCAATTGCCAAATATGTAGTATTGTTCAATACCAAACCAGGTATCCAAACTTGGATATTTCACCTCATCATTGTCACCAAAATAATTCCAAAACAAATGCTGTGCGTTTTCTGTTGACTACATTAGTTTGCTATGATCTGTATGTGACAGTGGATAAAATGAGACACAATATTTAACATGTTAATAAAGGAAAAATACTGCGGACTCTGGAAAACTATAATAAACACAAAAAATGCTGGAGAAACTGAGCAAGTTTGGCAGCATTAGTGGAGAGAGAAACAGTTAACATTTTGAGTTTGGTTTTACTCTATAAAATAACCTGACACATATTGTGGGTTAGTACTAGAGTCCACTACTGAGGAAGAAACAGCAGAATATTTAGAAAAGCTTAACACAATCAATCAGAGTAACTATGGTTTTGTAAAATGGAAATCATGTTTGACAAATTTGCTAGAGTTCTTTAAGCATGTAACAAGCAGAGATGATAAAGGGGAATTTATGTTGTGCATTGAATTTTCAGAATATTTGAAAAAATGCCACAAAAGAGGTTATTGCAGAAGACAGGAGCTCGCAGAGTATTGAATTAGAATGGATTGAGGATTGGTTAACACGTAAAAAACAGAGAATTGTGATTAGTTGTTCTTTTTCAGGATGGAAAGATGTAGATAATGGAGTGCTACAAGGATTGGTCCTAGAGCCTCAATTACTTGCTATCCATATTAATAATGCGCAGGTGGATGCAGAGGGCAATGTATCCAACTTTGTAGGAGGGCATTTTCTGATTAGGGCATAAGAAATCTGCAACAGGATGATAGAGATAGGTTGAGTGAGTGGGCAAAAACTTGGCAGGTGGAGTTTTAAATAGACAAATATGAGGTCATGTACTTTCATAGGAAGAATCAAAAGGCAAACTATTACTTAAATGGAGAGAGACTCTAAAAACGTTCAGTGCTGAGGGATCTAGGCGTTCTTGTGCATGAAATACAGGTCCAATAAGCAATTAGAAAGACAAATGGAACTTTGATCTTTATTCTTAGAGTTTGAATATATCAAAGCAAAGTTTGTTAGAACTGTACAGGGTGTTTGCAAGTCCAAATTTGGAGTACTGCATACAGTTTTGGACCCAATATTTTAAAAATTACATACTGGCATTGTTGGCTGTTCAAAAGACATTCACTAGGTTGATTCTTGAGAGAAGAAGTTGACTTATCAAGCATGGCTAAACAGGTTAGGCTTTTGCTCATTGGAGTGTAGAAGACTGAGGGGTGATAGCATTGAAACATACAAGATTCTAGGGAGATAGCAAGAACTGCAGATGCTGGAGTCAGAGACAACACAGTGTAGAGCAGGAGGAACTCAGCAGGCCAGGCATCACCAGAGGAGCAAGCAAATTGATGTTTTGGAGTGAGACCCTTCTTCAGAAAGGGGGAGGGGTAAGGGAACTGGGAAATAAATAGAGAGGAGGAGTGGGTCTGGGGAAGGTAGGTGGGATGATGATAGGTGAGTGCGGTAGGGAGTGGTGGGGATTGGTCAGTGAGGTAGGAGGGGCAGATAGGTGGGAGAGAAGCTGAACAGGTTGTGTCAGGTCAAGGAGGTGGGGATGAGAGGGAGGGTTGGACATGGGATGAGGCTGGGGGTGGGGAGATTTTAAAACTTGTGAATTCCATGTTTAGGCCTTCGGGCTGTAGGCTTGATATGAAAGGTTTGTTTTATGTCTTGAATGGAGGTGACTGGGGAGGTGTAGGGGCAGGTGTAGCACTTCCTGTGGTTGCAGGGAAAGGTGCCGGGGCTGATGGGGCTAGTGGAGAGTGTGGAACGGACGAGCGAGTCGCGGAGAGAGCGGTCCCTACGAAAGACAGATAGGGGTGGGGAGGGAGATATCTCTTTTGGTTGTGGGGTTGGATTGTAGGTAGCAGAAGTGGCGGAGAATGATATGTTGGATGCGGAGGTTGGTGGGGCGGTATGTGAGGACAAGGGGGATTCTGTCTTTATTTTTCTTGGGTGGAGGGGGTTTGAGGGCAGAAGTGCGGGAAATGCAAGAGATGTGGTTGAGGGCATTTTTGATCACTGGAGGGGGGATGTTACGGTCCTTGAAATAGGAGGACACCTAGGATGTGCGGGAGTGGAATGCTCCATCTTGGGAGTAGACGTGGTGGAGGCAGAGGAATTGCGAGTAGGGGTTGCATTCTTGCAGGAAGGTGGGTGAGAACTTGACAGGGTAGATTTGAGATAATGTCTCCACGAGCGGAGAAATCTTGAACTAGGGGACATGATTACAGAATAGAGAGGAACTTATTTAAAACTGAGGTGCAAAGGAATTTTTTCTCCTGGAGGATAGTGAGTGTCTGGAATTCTCTACGCCAGAGAGTTGTGGAGACAAGATCACTGCAAGTATCTAAAGGAGTGGGATCAATTTGTTTAAGTATCAGGGAGTTGACAGTTGTGCTTAGGTGGGTTGAAAAAGGCCTGGTGCATTATCAGATAAGAATTTGATGAATGTGGGGCGGGCTCAAGGGACAAAAGGCCTACACCTACTCCTGTTTGTTATGTTCTTATGTTTCTACACTACATAAATAAACACATTTTATCCACCAGGGAATCAAGGGATAGGCTCAGCTGGCTGCAAAACCCTGCTTCCCTTTTGCGTGTGTCCGCAACATGGACTAGCATTAATATGTGGTCAGGCTCATCCGAGTAAACTGCTCTACTCCGGCAACTCCGGCAAAACTACTGTTTCAAAAAAACCTTAGCTATTCTACGCAAGGCACCCCCTGGTGCCCATTTGAGGAACTTCAGAGGCCTCTCCATGACGCTCGCAGCACTGGGCGTGCGCAATCTGGTTAGAGCGAGGCGGCGGCTGGTACGGGTGCGCGCTCGGGGCCCGGGGGCCGCGCACGCGAATGAGCGCGCGGGGTAAGACCGGAACCGGAAGTCTCCCCTGTCCTTCTCTCTTTCTGCTGTCGACGGCCGCCATGGTGAGTTGTGAGCGGAATGGAGCTGCCGCTTCAGGGCACTCAGTCCCGCAGCTTCGGGCTGCCTGAGGGCCTCGTCTGTCTTTACTTTACCAACGCAAGCAGCACTAAAGCTTTAGCCCTGCTTCCCCAGGGGGCTACAAGGAGGGGAATTAGTCCCCGCTACCGGGGGACCGCGTGTTCTCGTATCCGGGTCCTGGGCCTCGGGATCCCGCCGGATAGAGTCAGCTCCACCCCAACCCCCATCCCCGGCATCAGAATAGACCCCGAGGCCGCCCGACCCCCGGCCGATCGCGCTCTCTGCATTTCCCTGCTGATTTTGTTCTGTTTTTCAGGTCTACAAGCGGTACGTGGAGATCGGCCGCGTGGCCTATATCGCGTTTGGCCCACACGCTGGCAAACTGGTGGCAATTGTCGATGTTATTGACCAGAACAGGGTAGGTGCACTCACTGATCCATATTTCAGTGTAAATTGTTTAGTTTCAATGAAATTCATCATCGCAGGTCACTATCTTAAATTGGGTAGCAATTTGACGGTCGTGCCCATTGGCAGGGTTGTAATTTATTTGTGTTAAGTATTTCGTCAGTCCTAGCTAAGTCGGTATGCACCCTCTCCTAGTTCAGCGATGTCCAATTTGTTTATTTTTGTTTGAAGATTCCCATTCTCCATATTAAATTAACATGGAAGTGCGAGGTGCAAACTGTCAGAAAACGAATATTAACATACTGAAGTGGATATATCTGCTTCTCATAACAGATTCTTGTTTATACCTGATAGGAATCAGGATAGGCACAATGGAGATCGGTTTGGTGTGAGTGTAGAATCATGTGGGGAACACAGTGGAAGTAGAGCCACTACTTGCTGTCTGGCTGCTGCTCTCTCCTTTGCTTGAGTATGGTCCTCTGGGTGGTCATCTCTATGAAAGATATCATAGCGATTGCAGGGATGGACAGGACTGGCAGCTTAATATTCCAGAGTTTAATGCTAAAAGAAGGATAGAGAGGGGGGGATGGTGATGTTTTAATTAGGGTTAACATAATGGCTGTACTTACAGAGCATATTCCTTGGAATATGTCCAGGGAAATTATTTGGCTGGAACTGAGGAATATGAAATGGATAATCACCTTATTGGGATTGTTGTATAGACCCTCCCCCCAATAGTCAGCAGGAAATTGAGAAACAAATTTTGCATTTGAGGTCTCAATTATCGGTGGTTATGGCACGGGATTTTAACTTTCCAACTGTAGACTGGGACTGCCATAGTGTTAAGGGCTTGGATGGAAAGGAATTTAATTGTGTACAAGAAAATTTTCTGAATCAGTATGTGAATGTACCTACTAGGGAAGGTGTGAAGCTTAACCTACTCTTGGGAAATAAGGCAGGGCAGGTAACTAAGGTGTCAGTGGGGGAGCAGCTTGGGGCCAGTGACCATAATTCTATTAGTTTTAAAATAATGATGGAAAAGGATAGACTAGATCTAAAAGTTAAAGTTCTAAATTAGAGGAGGGCCAATTGACAGTATTAGGCAAGAACTGTTCAAAAGTTGATGGGGGTGGGTGTTTGCAGGTAAAGGAACAGCTGGAAAATGGGAAGCCTTCAAAAATGAGATAGCAAGAGTCCAGAGACAATATGTTCCTATTAGGGTGAAGGGCAAGACTGGTAGGTGTAGGGAATACTGGATGACTAGAGAAATTAAGTTTTTGGCCAAGAATAAGAAGGAAGCGTGTGTCAGGTTTACAGCAGAGATCGCGTGAATCCCTACAAGAGTATAAAAGCAGTAGGAGTATACTGAAGTAGAAAATCAGGAGGGCAAAAAGGGGACATGAGAACTTTGGCAAATAGGCTTAAGGAGAATGCAAAGGGATTCTGTAAATATATTAAGGACAAGATTCACGAGAGAGAATAGGGCAAGGCCACGTATGTGTGGAACTGCTGACGGTGGGGAAGATACTAAACAAGTGTTTTGCATCAGCATTTCCTTGGATTAGGATTTGGAAGATCGAGAATTGGAGGAAATAAATAGCAACATCTTTGGAAAATGTCCGTATTACAGAGGACGTGGTGCTGGACGTCTTAAAGTGCGTAAAGGTGAATAAATCCCCGGGACCTGATCAGATGTACCCAAGAACTGGGAAGCTAGGGAAGTGATTGCTGGGCCCCTTGCTGAGATACTTGTCTCATCGATAGCCACAGGTGAGGTGCCAACGGACTGGAGGTTGGCTAACGTGGTGCCACTATTTAAGAAAGATGAGGAAAAGCCAGGGAACTTTAGACCGGTGAGCTTGACATTAGTGGTTGTTAGATGGAATCCTGAGGGATAGGTTTTACATTATTTGGAAAGACAAGGACTGATTAGTGGACATGGTTTTGTGCGTGTGAAATTGTGTCTCACTAACTTGATTGACTTCTTTTGAAGAAGTAATGAAGAGGATTGATAAGTACAAAGCAGTGGACGTGATCCAAATGGACTTCAATAAAGTGTTCGATAAGGTTCCTCATGGTAGACTGGTTATCAGAGTTAGATCACATGGAATACGGGGAGAACTAGCCATTTGGATACAGAACTGGCTGGAAGGTAGAAGACAGAAGGTGGTGGTGGAGGGTTGCTTTTCAGGTTGGAGACCTGTGACCAGTGATGTGCCACAAGGATCTGTGCTGCTTTTTGTCATTTACATAAATAATTTGAATGTGAACATAGGTATGGTTAGTAAGTATCCAGATGAAATAAAATTGGCAGTGGAACAAAGAAGGTTACCTCGTTACAACAGGGCCTTGATCAGATGGGCAGTGGGTCAAGGAGTGGTAGATACAGTTTAATTTAGATAAATGTGAGGTACAGCATTTTGGTAAGTCAAATCGGTGTAGGACTCATACATTTAATGGGAAGATCCTGGGGTGTGTTGCTGAGCAAAGAGACCTTGGAGTGCAGGTTCATGATTCCTTGAAAGTAGAGTCGCAGGTAGACAGGATAGTGAAGGTGGTGTTTGGTATGCTGGTCTTTATTGGTCAGTGCGTTGAGTATAGGAGTTGGGTGGTCATGAGGCAGCTGTACAGGACATTGATAACAGTGTGGAGCTGGAGGAGCACAGCTGGCCAGGCAGCATCATTTATTCAGAAAAAGTTTTTCTGAAGAAGGGTCCCGACCGGAAACGTCAGTTTTCCTGACCCTCTGATACTGCCTGGCCTGCTGTGATACTCCAGCATCAGCAGTTCTTACTATCTCTCTGTACAGGACATTGGTTAGGCCACTTTTGGAATATTGTATGCACTTCTGGTCTCCCTGATATGGGAAGAATGTTATGAAACTTGAAAGGGTTCAGAAAAGACGTGCAAAGATGTTGACAGGTTTGGAGGCTTTGAGCTATAGGGAGCGGCTGAATGAGCTGGGGCTGTTTTCCCTGGAGCGCAGAGGCTGAGGGGTGACCTTTTATAGAGGTTTAGAGTGAATAGACCAGGACTTTTCCCTGGGGTGGGTAAGTCCAAACTAGTGGGCATAGATTTAATGTAAGAGGGGAAAGATTTAAAAGGGACCTAAGGGGCAACATTTTCATGCAGAGGGTAGTGCGTGTATCGAATAAACTGCCAGAGGAGGTGGTGGAGACTGGTACAATTACAACATTTAAAAGGCATCTGGACGGATATATGAATAGGAAGAGTTTTGAGGGATTAGGGCAAAACTCATATCCAAGTATTCTGTCAACAGTGCAGGGTGGGTGGGTTGGGAGGGGTGGGAGTTGGGGTAGGAATGTGGGTTGGGGGAGACAGGCTGATGACAAAGATCTGCTGCAGTCAACCTGGAGAGTGCCAAGAGGATCAATGCAACTTTGAGTCTGGAGGAGCTAACTGGCTGGCTTCAGTCACGATTTATTTCCCCAAGATCCATGTTTGATCATTTCCCATGACATTCCAGAACACCCTGAGGAACACCATGGTTAGTCAGTAAATGGTACTAGATTAATTTTAGGATATCTGGTCGGCATTGGTGAGTTGTACTGAAGGGTGTTTCCATGCTATACAGCTCTATGACCCTGCACACTCTAGTTTGAGAACATCTGCTCCAGAACCAGAAGTGATGGATCAAGCTCCACCATCAATCCATGTACAAAAAAAACAACCTGACACTTTGAGTAAAACCGAGAGAACTGTGGATGCTGTAAAACAGGAACAAAAACAGAAATTGCTGGAAAAGCTCAGCAGGTCTGGTAGCGTCTGGAGAGAAATCAGTGACACTAGAAACATTAACTTTGATTTCTCCACAGATGCTGCCAGACCAGCTGACCTTTTCCAGCAATTAGCTTTTTGTTCCTGACACTTGGACTGCTATAATTGGAGGCTATTTTGTAATTCCCAGTCGAACTATAAATCACATTTGCCAAATCACTCCCGAAAGGAAATGATCAAAGATTCCACTTTTTGTAGCTTTACTTTGACGTGAATCAGAGCAAACAGAAATTACACATGAATTAAGAAATTATACCTCAAATAAAAAGTTTCCCTTTTCATGGTTGATGCAGCAAAGACCATGTGGCTACCCCCTTCCTGCTAAATACTGACCATCTTGTTCTGCTTCAGTTGGGGTTCTTTCGGCTATTGCCCCTTCCCCTTTAGAGCTTATCCCCAAACACACCATTTTCCGCTAAGGCAGAAGAATCTGTGTTCCTCTTCAATCTGGCTGATAACAGCAATTGATTTCCCTCCTTGTTGCCACTGTTTTGAACTGTTTGGGGAATTTACCCTTTACTGTGCAATCTTTCTGTGCCTTCCAATGTAAGATTGTTCTTGCAAACTTCAGTGATGAACTGCATCTAATCACCCATCTGTTTTGAATCTCCTAGGCATTGGTGGATGGCCCTTGCAGTGGAGTCAGGCGACAGGCAATGCCATTTAAATGTATGCAACTTACTGACTTCAAGATTCAAATCCCACACAGGTGAGGCCCAGATGTCTTTAACAAAAATTGCATATCCTTTTTATACAAAATATTTAGGTAAATAAAAGCTGAGCTCAAATCAATTCTTCGATCTCTTCAAAATCTTGGTTTGGACTCCAGCCTGGTTTCTGTAATAGGCCAAGTCACCAATGTTTTTAAGTTGAGTTCAAAGATCAGGTTTTGAGTGGACTGAATAGAATAAGTCATAAATTACACAGCAGCATTGCAGAATATGGGGTTGATCATATGGTTTCCTTCCTAGAGTAGCAAATTGCACGGTTGTTACCTAATTATCTATAGCTCAGCTTGGCTGTGCGGGCTCTTTGCCACAGTGTAAATGTCTTATGTGTCACTCACATTACCAAAATGTATTTGATGACTTCAGTTGAAGTTCTTCGCATTCATGCGTGCAGTCTGACAGTTCCTTCAGGTTTTCTTCAAAACAAAAAACGCAGGGAATTCAGGGCAGAACATGAGGTATTTTTGGAACTGGATCATCCAGAGAGTGGTTACAATGGGAAGTAGTAGGGTGGCTGACATAGATGCACTTAAGGGAAATCTGGGTCATTACATAATGGCGCAACAAATCAAATGTTCTGTTCTAGGTTTGGATGAGGGGAATTTGGAGGAGGTTCATGTGAAGATTGAATAAAAGCATATTATTGTTTTGCCTGTGCATTCTATCCAGCTAGATTCCCTGTCATTCATACTGTGTGCTTGTTTTAATATTGTTTGTAAAATATATTTCCAAAACTGCGTGTCATCAGTTTTGACCTAACATTTTGCCATGAGTATGCCTCACTTTGTTGTTTGACCTCCAACTATGTGTATTTCTGCATGGCTGCTCTTGTTAATGTGTCTGTTATTTAAGAAAGTTAGTTTTGTTTGGTAAGCCCACCCAAGAAAGGAGCTTTACTTTGAAAATAAGTAGAACTTTTCTGGCTGAAGAATGTCAACGCTCCATTTACTTTGTATTTTTACTGTTTCAAACTATTTCTGTTGTCTGCCTTATGTTCTGTCACAGGAATTATTTGAGCTTTTTAAATGTTATCTGAAAAATGAATCCTGTCCAAAAAAAAATCTTATGAATTAGGAGTCAGAAGCCTAAAAATAGTTCAACACATCTTGTTAGCTGGATGACTTAAGAGGTATATGTTTTTATATTTTCTTAGTGTTCGTCACAAGTTTGTAAAAGCTGCTTGGGAAAAGGAGAAAATCTCTGAGAAATGGGAAGCCACCCATTGGGCAAAGAAAATTGAAGCCCGTGCAAAGGTAGGTGCTGGACCTGTTTTAGTTTAACTGTAAATTGTGATGAAACACTTTCATATTTGCATTCTAATGAGCATCAATATCTTAATTAACACGTCTGAAAAGAAGAGTTCATTGAATTTGTCTTAACTCTGTTTCTCTCACTCAAGAGAGCCAAAATGACAGACTTCGATCGCTACAAAGTCATGAAGGCCAAGAAAATGGTGAGTTTGCTTTCGCAAGAATAGTGTTTGTTAATATTATCTGGTATTTCATTAAGTCATCAGTTTTAATTCTTTGTCCGTTAATGAAATCAGCTTTGCAGCTTTTAAATCTGTACATTTAGTTTATTTTGTGTTACAGCATGCTTGTACTTAGTGATTGACTGGCTGGTTTAAGTGGTGAGCATACATGATAAAAGGCTTCTTTCATAACTGCTTTACTTAAGTTTCGCACTAAGAAGCATTTCAACTAAAGAGATTTGCCTTATGAGGACATGTCATTAGGTTTCATTGAAATTTATGGTAAATAAGGTTCAGTGGTACTTCTTTCAAAAAATAATCGTCATGACTGTACCAGGAACTGCAAGTAGAGTTACCACACATCAATGTTGTATTCCCTCAAATGTAAAAAGTTATAGAACGTTTCAGTGACTTGGTCAAAGGTTTCAAGCTACTTGGGGTAGCAGATAAGCTTAGTTCAGAAATTACTTCATCTGCTGGGGTGTCTAGAATTGAGAGTCTAAATATTGCAGTCTGGTTTTTCAGAAATAAAATTAGTAAAGGCCTCTACACGCAAAGACTGATACAAATTTGGAACCTTCTCTTGCAAATACAAATTAGTTGAATAATTGTCAACTTTAAATCTGAGAATGATGTAGATATCTGTTAAGGAATATGAGACAGACAGCTATATGGAGTAAGGTTGCAGATCAGCTGTGATTACATTTGAATGATGAGCTTGAAGCTAAATGGCTGACTCCTGTTGCTATTGAACACTGGTATGAGCACTCACTGGAAGCATTTTGCCATTTAGCCCTTTGAGCCTCCTCCACCATTTAAGGGGTCATGGCTGATCTGATTCTGGACTCAGTTGCACTTCAATGTCTGCCCAGTACCCAACAACTCTTATGTTCATCAAGGATCTATCTAGCACCCGTTAAGGTATTCAATGACCCTAACTCCACTGCTGTGGGGGGAGAAAATTCCACAAACTCTCAACCCACCTGGAGAAAATTTTTCCTCATCTCTATCTTAAATACAGAGCACTTCTTAGTTTACAAATATTCCTGGGATGTGTGTATCTTCTGCAGTGAAGACTGCAAAGTGTTTATTCAGTTATTGTGCATTATTACCTTTCTGATTTTTAAATATCTACGCATACTCTAGTTTCTCCCTAATTTTATATGAATCTTCCCTGATTTTACATTATACCCAATCCTCTGACTGGCCACTGAGCTTGAGAGTTATGGTTTTCTTTCAATTTCATGCTATTGTTAACTGTTAGCCACAGATGGTGTGCCCTTCCCATTTTTCTCACTGGAATGTCTCTGCCTGTTATTAAGTAACTCTTAAAATATCTGCCACAGCAACCTGCTGACCTGTCCTTTAAGACATAGGAGCTGAAATTAGGCCATTTGGCCCATCTTGTCTCTTCTGCTGTTCAATCGTGGCTGATAAGTTTTTCAGTTCCATTGTCCCACTTTCTCCCCGTAACCTTTGATCCAGTTGACAGTCAAGAACCTATCTATCTCTGTCTTAAGTATTCTCATTGACTTGGCCTTCACAGCCCTTTGTGGCAATGAATTCCATAGATTCACCACTCTCTCTGGCTGAAGTTTCTTCTTACCTCTGTTCTAAAGGGTCTTCCCTCTTTTTGCTCTCAGGCTCTGCTGTCGGGTCCTAGTCTATCCTGCTAATGGAAACATCTCCCCAATGTCCACTCTGTCAAGGCTGTTCAATATTCTTTAAATTTCTAACTACCGACTCAACCTGCAAGTTTGCCTTAAGAGTATCCTGGACTAGGACTCCCAAGTCCCTTTGCGCTTCAGATTTCTGAATTTCTCCCTATTGCAAAAATAGTCGTTGCTTCTCTTCTTCCTATCAAAGCTCATGACCTTGCACTTTCCCACGTTGTATTCCATCTCCCGCTTCTTTGCTCACTCTCCTAACCTGTCTAAATCTTGCTGCAGCCTCCCTGCCTTCTCAATACTATCTGTCCCTCCAACCAGCTTTGTATCATCTGCAGACTTAGCCAGAATGTCTCAATTCCTTCATCTAGATCATTAATATATACAGTGAAAAGTTGTGGGCCCAACACTGACCCTTGTGGAACATTACCAGTCACCGGCTTCCATCCTGAGGTGGACCCTTATATCCCCACTCTCTGCTTTCTGCCAGACAGCCAAACTTCTATCCATGCTAATACCTTACCTCTAACACCAAGGGCTGTTATCTTACTCAACGGCCTCCTGTGCGGCACCTTATCAAAGGCCTCTGGAAGTCCAGACAGATAACATCCATTGGCTCTACTTTATAAAGCCTCAGAAGTACATCCTTGCTCTTTACGTAACCTGCACGTTATCACCTCAAAGAATTCTAACAGGTTTGCCAGACATGATCTCCCCTTAATGAAACCATGCTGCCTTAGCGCTATTTGACAACGCAGTTCCAAGTACTCTGAAATCTTATCCTTCACAATGGACTCCCAACATCTTACCAACAACCAGGGTCAGGCTAATCGGCCTATAATTTCCCATCTTATGCCTTACTGCCTTCTTAAACAGGAAGGTTTAGTGATTTTCCAGTCCTCTGGGACCTTCCCTGACTCCAGTGATTCCTGAAAGATCACTACTAATGCCTCCACTATCTCTTCAACTATCTATCTTAACCTAAATTAGCGTGTCACTTCATCCAGCTGTCTTCAAACCTTTCATATTTTCAATTGTTTAGATTTTAAATACTGGCTGTTAGTCTGACTCTTCTGTGAAATACATTTACTGATTCAATCATATTACAATCGTTGCTACGTAGAGATACTTCTCGTGTGATTTAAATAAATTAATCTTGTCTCATTGCACATTACTAGATCTAGGATAATTTGCTGAATGGCTGGCCCTAAACTCTAAGAAACTGTCCCAAAAGCAAACTATGAACTCCTCTTCCAGACTACTTTGGCAGTATTGCTAATGTAACCGCTAACTAACAGAGCTACTCCTCCACCATTTGCTGGTTTTCTGTTGTTCCGAATGTCATGGTCGGTTATTCATGTTCCACCTTTTGTCGTCTTAGCCATTGTCCAGAGACATGGTTATATCAGATTATATCTATTTGAGCTGGCAATACATCCGTTTTGTTACAAATGCTATGTACGTCCAGGTTTAGAGCCTTTAGTTCTGTCCTTTTGCTGTTTTTGTGATTTCTAGCCTTGTCTGCTGGTGCACTCTTGAGTTTGTATATTTGTCCTGTCCTCTCCCTTTAAATTATCTCTTTTCACTCAATCCCTGTCCCCCACTATTTAGGTTAAAGCCCTCTCTACTGCTCCAGTACATGTTAGGAGCAAGAGTAGATCATTTGGTCCCTTGAGTCTGCTGTTATTCGGTAAGATCTTGACAGATCTGATTATGGCCTCCACTCTACTTTTTTTACTACCCTTGATAATCTTTGACTCCTTGTCAAGAATCTATCTACCTTTACCTTAATATTCAATGATTCCACCTCCACTCCTCTAGGGGAAGATAATTTGACACTTAAATTGCTTTTTCACAGTGTGTTTATCCTGCTGCTTTACTAAAATGGGAAATGTCCAAATCTCCTCCACTCCATCCCCCACCCCCCAAAAAAAATTGTTGCTGCCCACAAAAGGAAACATTCTTTCAACATTGACCATGTAAAGTTCATTCAGGGTTTTGTACACAAGATTATTTATATGATTCACCAGTACACAGGTCCTGGCACATTTCAGGTGAAGACCATTATAATGATACAGCTTCCACTTCTTGTGGGATTGGTGGCCATGCCCGATGAATCAAACTCATTTCTTCCACACCAATCTTGACTCAACATTCAACTCATTATTACCTTATTCAGTGTATGTCAATTTGCTCACAGCTCAGGTAGTAGACCAAAGACCTTTGGAGGTTCTGCTTTTCACTTTAACTCCTAGTTTCCCTGAGCAGAATCTCTTTCCTAGTTCTATCTATGTTGCTGGTACCTGTGCCAAATGCAATAATAGGATCCTTTCATTCCCATTCCATTTTTTTCTCCAGCCCAGATCATACTTATCTGCATAATTGTCAAACTGAGAGAAATCAATATTTATTTAAAAACTGACTTTTCTAAAATGGCATTTACAGGCTTGTGATAGGTAAAATGTGAAGTAAATTCAATTAAAGATTTGTAATGTTATGCATACTTAGTAGACCCTTTATGATTTGCACCATGGTCACAAAGGGGGGATATGTATGCCAAAGAAATGAGAGTTAACACCTGATGCTGTCACAGTTCCCATTTGGTTGAACAGCAGTGTGTGATCCTGACAATGTTTGCAATGGCTAATAAATCAGAGTGGATTGTGGTAACCTTTTTTTGTTTTTCCTCTCTCAGAGAAACAAAATCATCAAACACGAGTTGTCAAAACTGAAGAAGGAAGCCAGCAAGAAAGCATAAATGTCCATTGTTTCAGCAAAAGAATAAAGTTTATAACAAATTTAAATTGGTCCATTGCTTTACTACCGATGTTCAATATTTTTGAGTAGATTACCAAAGTAAAATATCACATGAAGTTGGAAGTGTTTGTGTTTCATTTAGACTGCAAAATCGTAACTTGTATTACAGTTTTCTCACCATTCCATTACTTAAAACAAAGTTATGGAACTTTTGGAGTTATGGAGGGAAAAGTCTTCGAGTTTGATATCAGACTTGCTCATTGTGCTGATCTTGTAAAAATAACAGCACACTAAATATGCCTGCTGCTACTGTGCAATTAGGCTAGGAGGTTGGGGTGAAAATTTCTAGAGCTGAGTTGATTTATGCCATTGGCCCACGCTTCTAGTAAGTTGCATTAAGTTGGTAGGTGTGCAAACATTGTTAACTGCATCGACTCAGATTTTTGTTTCTCGTCCCACGATTCGTTTTTCGGACTGCTATTGCTTGTATTTAACATTACAGCAAACAAGCAATGATGTGATGTACTGTTTTTAAAGATCGGCATGTCATTCTTTAAAAATGACTCCAGTCCCCATCATCGTTAAATACTATTTAGTGGTCCTATGAATTTATAATATCAAGGTACTAGCTAACATTTAGCATTATCTGGTCCATAAAATTAACACCCATTACTCAATTTAGTAGTTCCGCAAACTATTTGCTGTAGTACTGCTGTTATTTCACAGTTCATTTCCTTGGTATGGTTCCAACCAGTTAATACTGAACAAATCATTACTGCTGAAGTTGGTTAAAGGCGCAGGCTAACTCAAGCAATTCAGAAGTAACATGTGCCATGGTGTATTTATTATTAAGGCTCGCAGACCAACCAGTTTTAATTTTTTCCAGCTTATAGGAGTCTTTGGGAAGCTGCTAGCACTAAACTATGGGAGTTATTTGCCAGCTAGGTTTATTATCAGCAGTGTATCGCAGGAGTGTATAGTGCAGATGCCTTCAATATTACCCCATATTGTATTTGCTCACTCATCAAAAATATTCCTGTAACCTCTTTATATTTAATGGTACACTTAGTGTATGTACTGAACATTTCCCATTACCTTGATTCAAATCCTGTTCTGTTATTAGTGCTGTCTTGACTCTTCATTTGGTAATGACATGATTGTAAAGTTTTCATGCTGATTTTTAAATCCTTTTCTGGCCTTGCCCTTTTCTCTGAATCCTCCAATTATTAAACTGTCATTAGTCTATCCCAAATTTTCATTGCTCCGTCTTTGGCAGCCGTGCATTTAGCTACCAAGCACAGCAAAATTTGAACAGCTTAAAATGCCCAAGGTAAGTCATTGGGAACCACAAAACAAATTTTAATCATGCCTTAATTTATGCATTTTCAGTTATTGATTCTTGCGATGAGAACTAACTTCTAATGGCAAATTTAGAATAATTTATTGTATCTGTTATGTTAGAAACAATAATTGCAACCATAAAACCTGTGTCTGAAATCAAAGGCATTTATATGGATGGTCACTCTATATGTCACTCAAATGCATTTATTTAGAGCACAACACTTTTGCGTAAAAATAATTCAAAACTAAAGTGCGGTGCCTTTTACACCCACTATAAAAAAAAAAACTTGCTGGCTTTTCCAGTGGGTAATACTGATAGAATAAAAAGTTGGATGTCAAAAACAAGGTGCTAAAGAGCTGAATGGGTGTCTCATGCCCCTAGTTGCAGATGTCTAAACTTCAGCGCTTAGTCACCTCCTTACGTCTGCTTCATCATCACACTACCCGCTGCTTTGAACCACATTTACATACGTGGCCTACTATCCTCTGATGTTATTTTGGTACAAGACCTTGCTTGAGAACAATTATTGAACAATGTGTTTGGATGTTTTGACTCTAAAAGCCCTATGTTGTGGTGTTAGGCACTGTCGGGACACTCCTACGCCAGTTGCATCATTTGTGGCTACAAAACCCGACAATGCTGCAAGTGGAAGATACCAGGCATCTGCAAGTCAATTCAGGCTAGTTCATTTTCTTAGGGGCCTGACCTGCAAAATGGAAGCATCAATAACTTCCATGTATTGACAAAGTGGTATTGGAATATATTCAATTCCTTAACATGACTGCAGTGGAGTTAGTACATTATTGCATGTAATGCACGTTAACATTCAGCAGTCCTTGCAGAGCTAGATTATTTTTTAATGGCATACTGTATAAACATGCCACCTATGAGAATATTGTTGACCTGGATTTCCAGTGGAGCCGCAGGTGGAATGTTCTATTGGAGAAGTATCTGCTGCTGTATCAGAAAATGTCTGGCTCCGTTTTTACACCTGAAGTTCACTTCAATATTAATATATACCGGAGTTCATTTATAGAACAAAACAGTTTCGTTTAGTCCTACATTGTTAGAAAGCAGTAGACTTATTATTTTAGGTTAATGACTTGTTGCTGGAACATTCTGGCAAACGGCCATTGACTTGAAATGTTGATTTTAACTCTTGAAAGTGGATATGTTTTGAAGGAATTACATTTTAAAGTGAACTTTTACCTGAATTGACCTTCTGGCTGTTAATCCAGAGACCCAGGTAATGTTCTGGGCATCGGGTTCAAATCCCACCATGGCATATGGTGCAATTTGAGTTCAATGAAAATCTGGAATTAAGAGTCTAATAATGACCACAAATCCATTGTCAGAAAAACCTATCTGGTTCACTAATGTCCTTTAAAGAAGGAAACTGCCATTTTTACCTGTTCTGGCCTACATGTGACTCAGGGCTGAGTACTTTTAGCATTTTTTATTGCTGATCTCTAGCATGTTGCTCATTATCTCGGCTTTATTGTTCACGGATGCGAATTAGCAGGCAGCATTGAAGACCAATCACTCGGTCATTCAATTGTAATAATTAGCATTTCAGCGAATAAGAAACATGGTTCTACACAATCGTTCTTTACAAATACATTTTATTTCACAAATAATGAAAGACTTCTATTGTTCTTGCACTTCAAAATGCCCTTTCTTCAGTTCTATTTTATATCTAAGTTTTTAATCTATAATCAATTATGAAGCAAAGGTTGGATTTTCTTACTATAGTCTTAAGTGTATATATATTTATATATGTGAGAGAGAGATCAGCAGTGTTACATTTTGGATTTCTTTCTTTTACATGCTCAATGCTGCAAGATATTTTACAACAAGTGTACACCTCTAATTTTAAAAAAAAACTCTCATACTTGGAGTGAGTGGTTTAATGTCCCATAGAATCATTGACCGTAATTTGTCAATAATTTAGTTTTTAACCTAAGGTGCTGTATGTAAGACCAGCAAGGATCAAGGGGAAGAAACAAAAAACTGCAAGATGAGATTTTAAAAAGTGTTAAAAGTTCCTGTCAGCAACTAAAGGTTCGAGTTTACCACATGGCAAAATAACCTTTATAAAGCTAGTTAGCTCAGGCTCACTCAAATTTGTGCAACTATAAAGATCAGCTCAACCTTTGCTAGGTGCCAAACCCTACCATTTACATTTTAATGACTAAAAGACAAGACTATCTTGCCAACAATTTTTTCACCAGTTTATTTGGCAGAAGGCAAGCACACAGCTTCCTTTGAGTGCCATAAATAGAAACCTCTAACCCTAATAGCAGCAATGACAGCACGTAGTGAAATACATTGCAGTTTCTCTCATTGTGGAATTAAGCTAGTATTGCATTCACAATCGTCTTAGGCCCAATAATATATTTAAACAATCTTTATCTTTTTTTCTCTGCTGTCATTTTGTTTTTCTGGTCCTCTTTTGATCTTTTTTTTCTCACTAAATTTCTACTGTCAAAATCATGGCTTAGTGTTATCATTCTGCTTTCTTGGTGCATTGGCCAGGATGGAAGCACTATACCAGCTGGATTCCATTGTGCTTTTCAACATTTCCTATTAAATCCAAAAGAACTATAGTATTAATAAGACACCTCAAATGTGGTTTTACATTTTGGTAAAGACTCGCCATTTTGGCATTCTTTTTTCATCAGATCATTTGCATAATGTTTTTCTCTCCAAATATTCAACAGTTATTTTGTTAAGAGCTCACAAAGCATTGAATTACACTAAAAGGAATGTATTATTGACATACAAATGAACATTGAACAGAACAAAACTAAAGTGGAAAATAGAAAGAGAAGTCCACAGAATACAGCTTCACTCATTGGTGTTTGAATCACTTGATTTTCTGATGGGATCATATTGGTAAGGTTTAGCATGTAACCAAGTGACCAGCCTATGCTGCTGTTCTTCACCTGTAACAGGGGAAACAGTGAATTAGATATTTTATGTAATATTAGTGCCTGCAGCAGAGAAAGGTGAAGAAGGTATTAGAATTCAAAGAATTGCTAATACTATCAACGGATAGCACGTATTATGTTTTGTTTTAAAATTTGGGGATGCCTTATCAATGGAAAATAGAATGGAATAGCTAACATTTTAAATACATACCAATATTAAATCATCCCAGCAAAATATTAAAGGTTAAGCCACGTTATGCCTCTGGAATGATATGACCAACTCCTACCATCATGTACAGTGTCACCTCTTTTGTTTTATTTTTAACTCTGGGAGAAGGCTTGTGTCATGAACAATGAGGATCCTGACCAACTTATCCACAATATCTCCATTAGGAATTTTCAGGACCTTAAACCTTACCCAGGGCAAAAACATCTTCCACCTAGAAGTCAACTTAATCAGAGATAGTAGGAACTGCCGATGCTGGAGAATCTGAGACAACAAGGTGTAGAGCTGGA